GGTTTGTTTAACTGCGGAGGAAGATTTTATCATGTGACTAACTTATCTGATTCATCAGATCAGCTTGCCGTAACACACATAACAAGCCGGAAACAGAAAACGATTTTCATCCAAGTGACATATATATATGCGATCTTGGTCTTTCTAGATCAGTGAATTCACGCGAGTCAAATTCAACCATTCAAGGTGTTTTACCCTTTATTGCACCGGAAGTCTTCCACACTTACAAATTTACTCAGAAATCAGACATATATTCTTTCGGCATTGTTATGTATTTGATGGCCACCGGTGAACCACCTTTTAGAGATAGACCATTTGGTAGAGATTTGGTATGTGATATTTTGGGTGGACTACGACCACCAATGCCTGACTTAGCACCAGAGGCATACAAAGGGCGTCCACAGCTATGGAAGATCAGTGACATTATTTCCAAGATATTAATGGATAACTTTGACAATGACATCTTGAATAGTATCTATTATAATAATGTAAGACCTGTATCGCGTCTTGAGAAGAAGAGCAAATATTCTAGCAAGCTTTTACCTAACGGAGATTTTCCTAAACCCAGAGACAGCTACAATTCAGTTGCAGGTATGAAGACAAGAACTGGTTACTTGCATGTTGATATTAAAATAAAAGTCACTTTACAATATTAACATCGTCTATTGTCTTATAATCTAGCTACTCAAAATTTGTAGTTATGGTTTATTTGAAGGTTTATTCCTCTCCAATGAATACAATATGCCTCTACTTAGAATAGCACTTACTGTATCTGTAGTTAAGCAGCTTAAAATAATACCAGGAAGAGACGCGCTACCTTGGTCTCAGAGACAGATAAGAAGTGCGGCTATGGGTGTTCGTCTCAATTGTTGTTAATCTGGGGTGGAAGAATTATGTATAAGTGTAATCTTGCAAACCGTGTATCAGCCTCTGCATAATGGAATAAGTCATCCTCGGTATAGGTTACATAATATATTATTAATTGGTTTCGCTAATTCGATGTAGCGTTATTAGCTTGAGTGTTCGAAGTTCAATTACTGTCTATTCGGAAAAATTTTGATCATTGTGATGACCATTTTTTGACCATAACAAATTCGCGATAAAGAACAACGTAAACGCGCCGAATGCTCAAACCATTGGCTTACCTGCCAGGTCGCACAACCCGACACGTCGTACAGCCTATAATATTCCTATTTATGGAGGAGTGGGTATCTGAGCGTCCAATGAAAGGATAATATTTGAGCCTGTACGACCTGGAAGGTTGTGTGACCTGGCAGGTAAATATTCCCGATTATTTCTTTTTTGCTTTCTTTTTATCTCTTGGATAAAATTACACACGCCACTTTCACAATGCGGGTGTAATTAAATTGTTTGTTCATTTCTCTATTCGTGCGTCTAGTCACAGCTTATTAATAATATGGGGCGTGCTACAACAAAACCAAACAAAGTGAACATACAGCGCAGAAAATCTGTATCTTGAAAAACATAAATTGTTAATGAAGCAAACATGTTAAATTTCGAAAATGAACAGAGAATTCAATTTTAGAGAAGCTCTTTAATAGGTGGATTCAAATGCAAAGATTATTTTAATAACACCGTTGATGTATGTAGAAGCACAACCTAATCTACTTATATACAATTAACAGCAAAGCACAAAATAGCAATCCATGCTAGCAGTTAAGACTCCATGTCAAATCACCCATAGCAAAGTATGTTGAGAATATCTTTCATCTCGCTATCAGTTCAACTCTGTTGACTAGTGGAATCAAAGAGCTTTCCTGCAGACGAACTTCATAGAACGCGCGGAAAAGAGGTTCATGTTTAGGTTTGCTCTTGGGTCGGTTGAAATGCACGAATTTGTGATTCAAGAATGCCGACGATAATCTCGAGCAACCTGTGGGCTTGCGAAAAGGTTCCCATGAATGTGCATGAGTATGGCTTTGAAATTTGGACTATAGGATTTTGAAGTGAACCCGACCAACGGAGAAATCTCCAATCTCCCCCAGTTGTCACAATGCCATAGACAGTGGTGGTCACTGGGGCCGGTGCACCATTGCCGTTACCGTCATCGCGTTTACGTTTGCCAAGTTTCTGTGAATTAATAAGAGCAAGCTAAAAGAAGTGAGTCGAACAAGCCAATGGGATCAATAATAAGCGTGACATACCTCTGCTGCTGTATGCAGCTGCACAAGATTTTGAATGATTCCTTTTCTGATCTCCGTCATCTTCGCTTCCGTCACCAGGACCGCGAGAGATTGACAATAAACCACATAGTCCAGAGTGCCAAAGCCGCGACTTCCGTCAAAGTCCTCCTCTACAGCCAGTCGTGTGGTCGGATGATTAGCCTGGACGATAGTTACCGCCTCGACCATTACAGGGTTGATGTAATTACGTGCTGTTGCTTTGTTGTCTTGGACCCTATTATGAAACGCCTGTGCAATCTTTTCGAGGTTTCTGTCAAAATCCTTCAAGGCTGGCAAATCTCGGACAGCGATATTTTCATCGCCTGAAAGATTAAAAACCAACTTTATAAACTGTAGCAGTAAAGTTATACAAAAAGAAGACTATGAGGGCCGCTTACCTATGTCAAGTTCTGGAATTGTATTAATGGAAGGATACTGCTCGTGCAAAATATCCTTGAGAACGTCTCTCTGCGTCCACTCCCCATATGGCTTTTTGCCTGTTGAAGAGCGTGTATGAGTGAACTCAGGCTAATACTGCGTTCTTGATTGTAAATTCAAATCATACCACACCTTTAATTCTTGCCAAGAGCCCAATGACACGTTGGCCCCTATTGTTCGGAGTAGTATTGTTTATCATGTCGTTGAACTTGAATTCTTCGTCGATTTCGTCTTTTTTTGTTTCTTGATCCACAAAAAAGAAATCATTGTCCTGTAATCTTTCGAACTTCTCCACGGCCTTAGCTCGAAGCATGTGCCAACAGCCAGTAGTGTGCGGCATATTAATATTGTGTAGAGTGTTGAGAAATTTGAGATTGATCATGACTTATAAGGCAGAAGTTAGCATCAGACGGCAGAAATGGGCATGCAGAACGATAAAATTAACAACTCAATTACCAGTGTTGTCTGAGACTGGGTAGCGTACAATGAGAGGTTCTACATCAGAAACGACAGGCTCTTGTGTAGTAGTCAAGCTTAAGAGAGTTGTGCCGCGGCGAAGATGTTGAATGTGGTCAGTATGGAAGAACTGGACCTCAGATGCTTGAATCCGTCCACGTTGGATAAATTTTTTCAAGACACCTTGAACCAAATTCGGGAGTCTCTCTATATGGCTATAAATGACTGATTGGGAGGGAGCATCTGAGTCGATGACATTTTGAGTGATCCTCTTTGCAGAAGAAGTTGTGCAAGGTCATCCAAATTAGCAGTTGCGAGATTTATGTCAGTGGTGGTAACACGAAATTGTTCAGCACACGGCTTGTCCTCAAGACAGATCCACAGCGTCAATGTGTTTGGGTCAGCCATAGTATGCCAAGAGGGTTTGGGTCTGGTGTCACAAATCTGCACGAAGAAAACATTGGAAGTATGATGTCACAGGTGATTTTTGTTTGCCAGATGCAACAAACACAGCTCTGTATAAGCAGTCGATTCCCGTTCCTCTACTTTGAGAACTCTGGAGTGTCTTTGGCAACAACTACAAGCGTTTTTAGTTACAGCTGTTTCAAAAATTGGGGCGATTTTTTTGTACCATTGCCGATGATGTTAAGTGAAAGAGGGTTAGTGTTTATAATATCTCTAGTATGTATATAGAAAGGGCGATCCTAATACGATAATGTAACCAGCAAGATATCGGGAACATTTATCAAACCAAATCTTGTATAAGAAAAGACCAACGAAAACGATTTCCCTCTTCATTCGTCTTCGCTATCATTACCAAAAACGCGGGATCCACTAGTCATTGGACATCTTCTAAGGTAAAACTGTTAATATGAATATCCAAGCCACCATTAGTTGTCGTCCCAGATCCAAAAAGCCTAAACCTACCGCACTGAGCAATTCTCCTAAATGTTAACTTAACACCCTGAGGTCCCACTTGCGCATCCTGTCATCACGTTACCATCTTTGGCAGCGACACTCACGACACCTATTACAGATTGACATCATGTCCTCTGCCCTTATACTTGGGTCTGATACGTTCTCTACAAATGTCCTTCTAGCGTTCAATGTATTTCTTCCAATCGGTTTTTAATATTTCCTCTCCAAGATATTCCGAATTCAATCGTAACAAAAGAGTAGTCACACACGCTAATTATAGCATAGAAAAATGGATTAGATATATTAATATGGGAAGTGCAACTTTTATCATGTTGATTTGACATTTTAGTTCTTATAATAATTTTTTCCCCCAATAAATGAGTAGTTCTTATACTCTGAAATACATATTAGATTTTTGTTTCCTTGGTATAGTTATAAACCACTAATTTCAATATTGTTCGCCTCTTGACCTGCGAATATTCTCGTAGTATTACTATTGTTCTTCGTCTAAGTATAAATGCGTTTTGGGCAGCTGTAATTATACCCCCAACACTATAGCTTCCGAGATAATCTCATTGGAAAAGAATAGTCGATTTATTTTGAGGAGGGTAAAACCGTCTAGGACTAGCTTCTACCAATCGACATTTGGTTATGTGTAGTAAAGCCTGTTTAAAGGTCACTAAAGGTCGTTTGTATTTAACCAAGAGTAGAGAAACCACAGCTTTGTTCAAAAATAACTAAATCCAAAGGTCAACAATTAATTGCTCTCCTGTGATTGTTGGCTCGACAGTTTCATTTATCCAGTCGATATTTTTGTACGCGAGCGCGTGTGCATGTAACGGTTTGTAAAATAACCTATATCATGTGTTAAGGGTTTAACAATGTGAACACCTCTTAGTCAAATTTAGAACATCAAACACTCTCCCATGCAATTAAAGATATGCTAGTATATATGGAAAATAACTGACACATCTCTGTTATAAATTGTTTAACAAACTTGCTATTTAATGCTCAATACAGATAAATTCAAAATTATTTTTCCTAATATTAGTATAGAAATTCTGTGGCTTATGTATACTAAACATATTTTTTACCACTTTTATACAACTCAATCTTCTCCCTTATTTTTTCTTTACTTCTAACCCATCTTTATAAAAAGTATACACTTTACTTATTGCTTTACTAAATCCCTTTTCAGCTGCCTTTTCATAGAATTCAAGTGCCTTTTGAATGTCTGCTTCTACTCCAATTCCATTTTTATAATACAGACCAAGCATATATTGTGCATAAACATTTCCTTTTTTAGCTCTCAATTGGCACAAATTAGTTACAAAACTAATGTCAAATCTTGATCCAGACATTTTGCTATAATAATAATGCCTATTGTTTTGAACTTGTATTGACTTATGTACTAGTTTTACTGCATCCTGATATAACTCAGTTGCTTTTTGTTCATTTTTTTCTACTCCAGTTCCATTGTCATAACACACACCAAGATTATATTGAGCACTGGCATATCCTTGTTCAGCTGCTTTTTTATACCATTCAACTGCTCTTTGTTCATCTTTTTCTACTCCAGTTCCATTTTCATAACACACACCAAGATTATGTTGAGCATTGGCATGTCCTTGTTCAGCTGCTTTTTTATACCATTCAACTGCTTTTTGTTCATCTCCCTCTTTATTTTTAAACTTTTCCAGAGCTTCTCTAAAAATCTTTTTTTTTTTATTTCTTTCTCAACTCGCACATTTATTTAGTTCTTGTTGAACCATATTTTGTGTGCAATCTCAACAATAAAATTTGTTAGTTCTTTCTTCAGTGTTAGGGACTGGAGCTAAAAAATTATTTCCTTCCTTTGTATTTTTACAATTAAAACATTCTTTTTTTGTCATGATAGTATAATATTTTTTATCAAGAAAAAAATTTTCAATAATTACAGCAGAGTGTGAGATAAAAATGAATTGTGGGTCATATTTTGGCTTGATTACTGCAACTATCTTGTATGATGATATTGAATAATGAACAAAGAAAGTCAAATGCTCACTTTGACTGGTTTTGTTGCAGCATGCCCATATCAGGTAGTATCAATGTATGTCATCTCTGTGCATCAACTCATACAGGTATATACTGTGACTTATCAGACTTGTTAACCAATGAAAATATTTTACTGCGACTAGCACTATTGTTTCCGTGAATAAGAACAATAGTATCAGTGTAACACACACGATATATGATGTAATGATGTGTTACACTAGGCAATATATTGATACCCGCTTATGTTTACTATTGGTTGACAGCTATCATTGTGGCTGACTCTCACACCCCTTACTGCAGAAATCACGACAACAATTGATAATATCAAGTGTTATCTAACGCGCGACCACGAGTCTACTCATACACATATATATACCCTAATCCTCCCCTCCATAGCACATGTATCGCTCACAACAACCTCTCCTCCTCTAAAGCGCAAATACGACGACGACGTTATCAAAAAGTTGAATATACAACGAACGCAACAAATCTTTGCCGCCACTCCATATTACGCATACGACGGTTTGCAACTTTCAAACAAGTCTTTGAAACGACAACTTGGTTTAACGACGAGTTCCGTAGCAAGAGGAAGGCAGTTTGAAGACGAGGTAAGGACTATTACTGGGTATCCGTGAGTGGTTTGTATCCTAGACACTGCAGCACTAGGTTAAAAATCGGATTACACGAAAGCGCATCGGGCCACACTTGTAGATTGTTCATCGTTCGGGTTA